GCTGCCGGCTGGGCCTAAACCACGACAGCATTTCCCCTCTCTTACTGAAACATCCTTTTCCAGCAGAAGAAATCCCTGGGTTTTAGTGTCTGACCAGTTTTCTAAGCAGTCTGAAATCTTTCTTCTCTAATTTCAAACTGTTTTCTATAAAATGAGATGAAACTAAACCTGGTGATTTTTTTTTTTTTCTCCCAGTTATTGATGAACAAGCAAATTGGATTAAAAAGATATGAAGTGGATGGAAGAAAAGTCCTTTTTTATTTTGATGAGGTAATGACTTTGTTACTTATAACTATGTTGCTTCCCAATGAAAGGCAAATGACCAGTGGGTCAGGCACAGGTAGAACATACTGGTGTTGATGGTCCCTCGCAGATGAGGATCACGGTGCAGCTTTAACTGGCCGGTTGCTTGAGCCTCTTTTGAGGCAGGTAGGTGGTGTGGTTTTGGTTGGAAACCAAAACGTAATAGCGGGTGATTAGCTTCAGCCCGTGTGGAATTTACGGGCACATATCATTTAGTTTTTGCCTCAAAATAATCTCACCTTCAAGTACAGCTTTAGAATTGCAAAAAGGATGGAGTAAAAATGCAGTCTCATTCAGATCTCTCAGGACATACCTGAGTGGACGATGAGATCTCTCCGGGCTTGGTCATCAGCAGTCCATTGTTAGCTAGTTGCATTAGCAAGCTGGTGATGACAGGAGTGGTGGTTGGTAAGCCAGAGAACACAGCTTGAGTTTCAGGCTTGACTTTCTGACGTTGTTGTATGGCAAGTATGTGCTTTAAAGGCCAGCAAAGTATCATGTACTTTAATTCATCCTGTTTGGCTTTTATTCATTATCTTTTTCTCAGACCGGTATGCTGGACCCAGGTGTCCAGCACAGCATGTTACGTCAGGGGCACACGCTATGTTTATTTGTCCCTGTCTTCACTTAGTGCAGTTTTTGTTACAATGAGGGTTTTTTTACGTAATTTCATACAGATTCCTAGCCAGTGCATGACCTGTGTAAAGTTTCAAGCTTTCAGAGAGCATATAGTTGGGAAAACAGCTCCTGTTCCTATCAAAGTGTACGATTACTATGAGCCAGGTATGTACCTGTTTTCCTTTGATTTTTGCTAGTATTAGGCATAAGGCTCGATTGTTATTTCTCATTCTTGCTGGCCCACAGCTTTTGAAGCAACACGTTTCTACAACGTGAGTGAAAACAGTCCCTTGGCTCGGGAGCTCTGTGATGGGCCGACATGCAATGAGGTGGAAAGCTCAGCTAGCCAATGGGTTGGTAAGTTGCACCAAAGCCAAGCAGATTTTTATTTTTTTTTTTTCAAATAGAGCCCACAAACATAGTTTCCAGGAGTTCACAGCTCAAAATTGTATTTAGAAAAATGCTGTATTTCACTCTCTGTGTTAGTGGAAGTTTTACAAAGGTTTGTGGGATAGCAGTATTAAATTAACACCAGCTGAACAGACCTATGTAGTCTGCTCTTCAGTCACCAAAGTGCGTATTACTTGCTTCAAAGGCAAGATTTAATATGTCATTCTGGAAGAACCTGCACAAGGTGAGATGAGTTAATAAATAGAAAGGTAAAAACTCTTTAAAATGCAGTTTTGTTTTCTTTCTCTAAAATATGTTGCTATAGAGTTCCACAATTAACTGTAGCAAAATTGAACAATTTAATGCATCAGTGAAAGGAATAACTTTTCCCAGAAACTATATGTTCCTTTCTGTCATCTATGTCATACAAAATAGTTGCTTTATCCTATATCTGGAGTCTGCTGCAATATGGTTCTTTCAGAAGGATAACTTTATTCCCAGGGCTTTTTCTTCTACCAAATTTGTAAATTCCTATGAGAAGTCTTGGGGAATTCAACATGAAAACTTACATCAGAGAAATAGAAGAAAATTGCTACCTGATCTTCCCCTTGCTATGCAAAAATAGTGCTTCAGATGTCTTTGTTTGCTTTTCAGGCTTTGTTCACTCTGGGCCATGCAATAACATTTTTGGCTGCTTGGAGGATGAGTATTTTGAGCAGTGCATGTGTTCACGAGACTGTGGCTATGATGGGGAACCTGTATGTGGATCAGATGGACAGATTTACCCGAACCATTGCCAGATGGAAGTAGCATCGTGCAGGAATAATACAAGGATAGAACAGATGCCCATGTCTCAGTGTTCTGCCTGTAGGTTTCATTCAATTCCCATTTCTGTTACAGTCTTGTTGCAGAACACTGTGAATCCTCATCTGAGCAAATGATTATTACATGCATGTCGTAGGGAAAAGAGGAGAATTCAAAACCTCCTATATATTACTTTGCTACTCATACTACAGGGGATTAAATTATAAAAGCAGCTGCCTTCCTGCTTAGCTCAAAATAACTGGTTCTCTGTTGTCATGAAGATGTGTTTTACCAATCAGAATGGACTTCAGAGAAAATGAGTGATACTGTTTTATCTGAAGTGAATAATCCTAGATAGAAATTACATCCATGACATAACATTCTTTGGAGATTCTGCAAACATTTTCTAGACATTCATTAATAAAATTTGTGACTAATAGATTTACTTTTTCATTTACAGCCAAGAATTTGCCAGAAGAAAGGGAGACACACTCTCACACAGTTGAGCAACCCAGTGTTCAACAAACTCCAGCAGGTAATACCATACTTCTGCATTTATCCAAGGTGTCCTTCTTTAGCAAGGCTAAAGCTTATCCTATCACTGTATAAAAGTATATATGGCTCTTAAGCACGTTGAAATAAGGAAGTTTAATTTCTTCATGTTTTCTAAAAGAACATTCATAAAAAATGAAGATGTCAAGGAAACTTAGGATGGTAACTATTCAAGAAGAGACTAGCTCTTCTGGTCGCTTTTCTTTCAGGAAATCTTGCATGATACCTGCTGTATTCAGTGCACGTGCAAGATTTATGCAATTGTTCATAGGAGTGGGCAAGTGACCCTCCTATCTTCTCAGCCTTGGTATATTTGAACAACACACACTCTATGGTCTTTTCTTCAATATTAAGCTGGAAAGATCGTGTTTAAATCCAGGCTGATGTAATGTGTTTCAACTAACAACTGAAGAGGACATGACAACAGACCAAACCATTGCAAGAACTAGGCTCCAGGTGGATTAACTTTGTTTCTAGCAGTTCTGTGCAAAAATTGAGCTGGCAGCCTTGATTCTCTCTGAACTGCTGTTTGGAATAAAGAGCCTTAGTGAGCAAAAATGTTAAGGTCAGTAGATGGAGTAGCCAGGAATTTGGCTGCTCATTTTATTTGGTGCTTATATTCATACACTTTTTTCCAAGACTCATGTTGAACTTGCTCATGGCTCACAATAAATCTCACCAAGAAGCAGTGGAGGGTCAATAGAATAGTTTGTTTCATGCTGTTTCTAGTAAATAAACTGGACTAGATTTTTCCTGGCTGCTTTCCACTCATTAATTTTCCCCTGGCCTCTAACTCTCCTAACAAATCGGTAAAACAAGTTAATTCTTCAAGAGAAGACTGTGCTTCCTCACATCCTTCTTGTGCACGAGAGCTCAGACTAGCGTGTGTCCAATGCGACGGAGACCATCCTGTTCTTTGCTCTTCCTCTGGCCTACAGAATTTGATGGACGGTTTTCTTCTTAAGGTGTAAAAGCATGGTGAATATTCCATTAGGACTATTTCTATAGGTTATTCAATCTTACAATGTTTAATGTGTCTCCTGTTTTCTGTCCCTTTGTTTCTGGTCTTAGTGTGAAAATATATATGATTGCTGTCTGGTAGAATAACTGAGATGAATGCTTGTTGTTTTTTATTCTGTGCAAATGCTATGTGCTCAGCATGGAAACTTTTTGCAATCCGAAGCCTTTAAAGCAGCGTTCCCAAACTGCTCTGTAGGGCACTGCTGGTATGCAAGGCTATACTAAGTGTTTTGCTGCTGGTCTACAAAATGGGACTGCAATTACATTATTTTAAAATAAAAATTTGATGGTAAAAAAATATGGTTACCTGGGAAAAAAATTGTGGAACTTGACGGTAGTCCACAATCCCAAAATTTTCAGAACAGTGTTTCTGAAATAATCTGCATTAAAGTATCTGTCTAAGGAAAAAAAACCCATTTGGTTTCTGTTCTAAACAGACAAAAGCAGTGTTGGCTCAGTAGGCTATCAATAAGAGCAAAATTGGAAATTCTGATTATTTTTGTGTGTGGCATTTTTATACAGATGTTAAATTAACAAACTGTATGCCACAAGGATATGTTTGTCAAAGCACAAGCATTTAGAGCTGGCTTTGTTCTAGGATCTGTGAGCGTTCAAGTTGAGAGTTTCCTGGAAGGCAGATCCTCTTCTGAACTGAGCTGTCTGAGCAGCCATGGCAGAGTGAGCATTCGGAAACAAAACTAAATCCTGCATCAGGAAAAGCGCCCAGCATGTGATTTTTCGTTAATCCTCTGGGCTCTTCTCAGGTCAACCACATGGTGCGTGAATCAAAGTTTAACAAATGAATGAATCCCTCCTTATACATGGGTCTCATTTGGGCTCCCTGGTTTGTTAGCATTGAAGCATGTGATTGGTTTAAGTCGGCTCAGGTGCTCTGGGTTTCTAGTGAAAGTTCTGATGATCCATGTCCAAATCTGTGATTTCCTAAAAGGATGCAAAGCTCCAGGAGCCAAATCAAGCTTAGGACAGGTTGGTGAAACTGCCTCAGTGTGTTAATCTTCAGGAAATACCACTTTCTTGGAGAACCGCGTGGTGTTTATATTGTCTGAAATCCTTCTGTACTTGCCACATGACTTGTGCAGGCTCGGCTTGGTTTGATTGATGCTTTCATTGTTAGCTCTTGTCTATGTTACCCCAGCAATGGAAACAATGAGAGCCAGCTTCCTTCCAGCAAACAGTGGGGAACTTCATAATGGGTTTGGGCTCACTCTGGCAAACACAGACATGCAGTGTGGTTCCATATAGGCCAGTGAGTTTGCTAGAATAAACAACAGCGTTTGAGTTATGCTACTGAAGGTAGGCAATTGTATATAGATGGTCCTCAGAAACCAGGATGCAGCGCTGCTTGCAGCACCTAGCTATTGCCAAGGCATTTTAAAATGCCTTTCAAAAGTCTGCAGCAGATTTTGCAGCAAGTGAGGCAGAATGGCTGAGGATTGATCTTAAAACTGTAGCCTTTTTTTGTACAGATGGGTAGATCCTCTTTGCATCTTTAGAAATACTCTCTTGATTGAGAGGGAAGTGTGCAGGGTGACAGGACTCAGCTGAAACAACTCATGTCTGAGTCCCCTTCCTCAGCTGTTCTTTCTCACAGGTGAATTACTGAGACTCAGAAGGATAGGACAGGTTTCTGATGAGTGGCATGGACCCACATCTGCCTCTAAGCATTGAAGGCCTCCAAGTATGTTTTCACAGCCTGTTCCAGTCGTATTTGTTTGGACTGAAAGCTCCTGGAGCAGGATTTTGGTTGCTAACTGGAGTATCAGTATCTGGAGTGCCTCTCTGTGGCTTTCCTAACATCATTGGCATGCTAGGCCTACAAAAATACGGGTGGATTTCAGAGCCTCAAGGGTCCTCAGTAGCTCTGATACCATCTCTCTGATGAAGCGGTGCTTTGATTGCTTCCATAGATCATTAACGCTCTTCTGAAATTGCCTAAATCTTCTCTGCCAAAAGTGCTAAATGTATAGCTGCTGATGTTGGAAGACAATATGTTGATATCACGGAAATGTTGTGATTCTGTGCGTATTTGATGGAAAAGCAATATCAAAGTGTGGGGTGGCAGCACTCAGTTGTACCGGTGCTGTGGTGGTGTTGCACTCTGCTGCTCTGCGCTGGCAGCCCACCCAGCTCCGTGCTGTCTGACCCTCCAGCCTTCTCCCCACAGCTGGAGCCACATTATTTGTACAGTTCTGCTCTAGCAGTTAGAAGGGCTGGTAACTGGAAGCAAATTATTGGTGGAATTATGATACTTTTATTTGGTGGTGATGTTATTTTTTTTAAAAAATGTAAATGCCATCACTAGCTCCTAATGGGAACATCAGAGTGAACTCTGCTTCCAGGTGCAGTCATCTCGAAACACTCCCTAGCAGGCGTGTTATTCAGAGGACCACTGTTCTTTCAGGATTGATTGAACTGGCAATGGGCCATTTTTCCTTTCACCCCACTGGTATTCAGCAAACATTGGCTTAGGCACAAACATTTGGAGATGGGGGAGTGGTTTGTATGCAACAGGAAACGTCGGCCTTTCGTCTTTGCCCTGACTCCAGTGCTGCATTCCTGGGAAGAGTGAGGTCTGTGATGTTACTTCTGTCCCTGGTGGACAGCAATCATCCATTCATAGAACGAGCTCATGATCTGGCAGGTTCTCACGTGGAGAAGGCCAAGAAGTGAACGGAGAGACTGACTCTGCTTTGAGGCAAGTGTTCCCTTGCCTAGGGATGTGGGAGGCAACAGGGAAGAGGCTTCAGATATTTTATTTCTAGAGAACAAACATTTTCAAAGGCCTTGAAGAGTGTTCTCCTTAAATAGAGCCAACTTTTCTGTGGGGGAGGAGGGGGAGCTTTTCCTCTTTACAACAGCTACGTTTCAGTGATTGCTTTGGTTTGGATTAGAGCAGTGTATACAGACATCAAACAGGAAAGATGGACAGCTGAGCTGGCTCAAGGAACAGTTTAGAAAATGGGGACGTATTGATATTCCTAGAAGTTTTATCTTGCGGCCTTACCCTCTGGACAGTGAGCAATCGCCCAGCACAGAGAGGCACAGCCTGCTTTGTGTGGGATATGCACCATGTGAGTGACCTGCCCATGTCTTGGTATAGACCGGAGTGAATGCAAGGAGGATAAATATCTGTTTCTGCCTGTGATGTGTCTGTTCGTATCTTAAATGATGGCAGTTTCTCAGTGGTATGTGGCTGTGCTGAAGCACATGTATCTCAGCTATTGCTAGTTCAGGCTGAGGGAGAAGTGAATGGCTTTGATGCAGGCTCCTGGTTATTGTGCCAAAATCTTCATTCTTGGTGGGCTGAAAAGAAATCTAGCTGCTTACACTGATCTCTTCCGCGATGTGCACCAAATAAACTGCTCCATCACAGTCTGCCCTCTAGCTTTGTAACGTTTATAAAAACGCGCTTAAAAGAGCGCACACGTTACACATCTTCGTATGGATCGGTCTCTCCTTAACTGAGGTACTTGGCTCGGACCTGGTCAAAGGAGACAGATGTATTTTCAGGGTGCAGAGTAACTCACCTGTGACATCTGGCATTCCCAAAGATACCTCTTACTTCTATCTTACTGTAGACAGGTCTTAGGGTGAACCGATTCCTAACTTAAGCACCTCAGATAATTAGATACTTTAAAATGAGACTTTGAGATTTTTTTGAATTACATGGCCCTTTTTTCTTTTTTTCTTTTCCTATGATAACTTTCTTTTTTTTGCCAGTGCCCAGGTCTCAGACTCAGCAGCTTTTCTCCTTGCATGTGAATCTAAGCATGCACGTGCAGGTCCGTTGATATCTGTAGCCTGCTTTACTCACATAAGCCACTCATTTGGCCCCTGATTTGCCTCCCTGATTAAAATTCCTTTCCTCTATGTCATTCCCTTTCTCTGTGGTGCAATGTGATGCCGAAATGCAGTTTCGTTGGCTAAAGCACAACCTGAGGCACTGTGGTTTCATTTCCAGCAGAGGAAGGCCCTCCGCTACAGACAGATCTGTCATACTACTCCTACGAATACGACCCAGACCCCTATGCGTCAGAAGCTGACATTTTTGAGATTGTGGCGGAACTGACAACAGCGAGCACATTAAAAGACGTGGACAAGATTCAGGAAGTAGTGACCACAGTAGAATGGTGAGCCAGAGAATCATAAATCTGGTTTGAGAGCCAACATACAATGTACTAACTCATGTTTTGGGTCAAATGTATTTTAATTCCTCAAAAGGGGCATTCTTACAACTGACCTGCTAACCTCTGTAGCAAGGAATCACCGGGAACAAGATCTTGCTAGGGCAACGTCTAAAAGTCTTTGTGACCTGAATGTCTCCATCTCTAGCAGAATGAAAAGTGATCTTTTAAGCTTTTCTCTGCCCAGCCCCAGTGATGTTTCACAAAGATATATAATGAGAAAGTGACTCTTCTTCATCATGTTCTCTCTTCAACAGAAATATATAATTTAAATAAACAGAAGAGGCTCAGAATCAACTCCTGTATGAGTTTATTCCTACAGACGACCTGCTGCAGAACAGAAACCGAATGATGACTACTTCCTGATGCACTCAGAACTGTAGGCTTTGCTGCCCCATGGGGGGGATCTGGAGCGCTAAAGGGGACACTCAGCATTATTTTTCTGTCAGTTTTCCTGCCTTTTGTGCATCCTCTTTGGAGTACTTCTAAGAATGGGAGACCAATGTGCTGTGCCCTCTAGATGAGAAAAATAGGGACTGGAATTCAAACCTATAGCCCATTTCAAAGTGTTTTCTCTACTGTCAGGATACTGCAAATGCCATTTCCTAGCTACATTTAGAAGCTAAGTTCAGGCCTTGTGCTTAGCTGAACTGCTGTTTGAGGAAAGGTGGCTGAGAAGTTTTCTCTCAAATTATAGTAATAAAAATCTGTGTGTTTTGCTAATTACGACCTAACAAGAGGCTAATCGTCTTCCCCAGTCCATAAGCCTACTGCACCCACACCAGTGTTCCACAAAAGAAAAACTTCCCTAGTGGCTCCATGTTCAGGGACGTTGTTGGGAGGTACATTCTATAAGAGAAAACCGAAAGCCACTGTCAGGGCTGTAAGGCTTGACTGTCCAGCAGGTGACTGCAGGCTTCAGGTGGGGAGTTTGCCAGCCATAGCAGTGACAAGGCCTAGGCGGGGGAGCCCTCTTCACATTGCACTATGTGCTGATAAGGGCTGCGCGCAGCCTTCTCAGTCCCTTTCCTCCTTGTAACCCTGGCATGAAAATAAAGCTGACCCAAGGCACAGTCCTTTGAAATGCTTGCCTGACTTCACCTATTGCTTTTATTCTGCTCCCACAGGGATCCCCGTAGAGTGGTGGTTCTGGGTATGGTAATCTGTGCATCAGCCTTGGGTCTGCTGGCCAGTGCAAATCACTGGTGTCGCAGAGGCTGGACTCCCTCAGACACATTGCCCCAAGCAATGTGGTTAAGCTAAAAACAAAAGCTTTGTGTTTCCAAAAGTGCAGGAGCCAAGATTTTTTGGTTTCCCTTCCTGCCTGGAGCACCATTGTTCTCTTTGGAGGAGTTACATGCAATTGCCTGTTGCAAAATAGTGTTAATAGTTTCATCTTCCCACTTCTATTGTTACCAGGACCCAGAGTGGGGTGGAAACCCCTTCTGAGGGTGTTTATTGCGGAATAGAAACAGGAAAAATCCCAGCTCCATTCATTTTTAGGGCTTGTTTAGACAGGAACCATGACAGGAATACATCCCAGTATAGACATTCCATTCCAGAATAAAGGCAATTTTATTCCAGAAAAATGTCCACATGGGGGAAAAAAAACAGGAGGTATCCCAGAAGCTGGGCGTAAGTACTTTCTAGTCCTTTTTGTCTGGGGCCAGATATTTGCAGAATGTAGTTGACATGATGAAGGTCTGGGTCTTGGAAGTTCCCAGAAATTTCAGAACTGCTTTGTGGGCAAGTTTCCAAGCCTTCCTTCGTGGCTGCTCTGAGCTCTCCTCACAGGATCTCGACATGCCTCCTGCCCATCTGTACCCACTGCTTCTCCGCAGAGGTTTTTGCCACGTCTCTTCAACGTGCATGAACAGACCATGTCCTCACTGTGTCCGCACAGCACAGCGGAAGCTCTGGCGGCTGCATTCCTGCCTGGCAGGTAAATAAATGCCTTTAAACTAAATTCCATCTCCTGTAAGCAACTGGCCTGGCAGACACTGGCTATTGTGTACACACATGGGACTGAGTCAATATTTATCCCCTGGGTAAATAACAGACCTAGTGTGAGCTGTAGCAAGAGGGTTGGGTTTTTTTCTTTTCTAAATATCAAAGCTGCACAATACAAATCCTGCTGTTTGCTGGTTCCAGCCTCAGCTGTTTAATGCTTTGAGTCTGGGACAATGAGACATTTAGTCCCCCTGATAATGTCTGACTAGCTTCCCACAGAAGATGAGACCCTGGATTCTCCAGCCTCCTGTCCTCTGTCCCTTTCTGGCTTTGGTTTCCTTGTCTCATCCATTGTATGCTTCTGGATAAATATCTGAAGTCATTTTACATTGCTTGGTCCTCTCATAGATCCTTGGGCAGTCAGACAGCATCACCACTGGGGACAAGGAGATGAAGGTAGGGAGTTTCAGCAAAGTATTCAACCTGACTTTCCTCAGGCTCTGGTACATGTAATGTACTAATTCAAGATGCAGACATCTCCCTATTGCTGCCAGCTAAATAATTCCTCCTGGTGGTGCCAGCCCATCAATCACAGCTTTGTTCTGTGGGGTCTCTGGTGCTAGTGCACTCGCCTGTTTGAGGCAGAGGAGTCTTGCTTCTATCTGACAACCGAAAGAAAAGCCAGAGAGACCTGGACCCTCGGAAGGCAAAGGCAGAGCAGCCTTAGTGTCCTGAAACAGAACAGGACAGTGCGTGTGAGGTAATGTGCTAGGGTTTCTGGAGCCTGACATCACCTTGGGTGCTTCTTTGCAGCTTTGGCACTTTCAGGGAAATCAGTACCTCTGCTCTTAGCAGCTTCTGCCTCCCCCCAGTCTTGCTGCACCAAACTAGCTCCTTTCTGTAGTTAAAACCAAGTAATTTTATTTAAGGAATTGAATAAAGGAAGCTGCAATTACACAGTTGTGGTTGCCTTTTCTCCCCTATCACAGGAGTAAAGGGGGAGGTCTCTGCCCTCTTAACCACCACTGCTGTTGGTCCCTCTGTCTGTAGCGTTCCCCTGTCCCAGATTTGTTGGTTCATGTTTCTTGTAATCATTGTTATCTAGGAAAAAAATTTTCCTAGATTGTTTTTCCTCCATTCTTCAAAATCCTACTTGGAATACAGAAATTTTTCAGGACTAAGTCCATGAGAACCACTGGACACAGCGGAGCCTTCTCAGACTCAGTGTTATCCAAAGGCTTTGGCCCAGTGCTGATTCTGAAGCTTACCAGTCATACTCCATTCCTGGAGAACACAAAGACACCTCAGCACTGAAAACCCAGGCTCCAACTTTTTGAAGACCAGCCAGTCATAGTTTGGAGAAGGGATTGATTTTTTTTTTATTTTTTTATTTATTTTTTTTTTCCACCAAGGAAGAGACCAGCTGGGTGGTGGGAAAGCCAGCAAGGACAGCCGGCCTGCTGCAGCTTTGGGCTTTGAATTGTTTCTGGCTTAGAGACGTTTGCCTCCCTCCGTCAGAGAGATGCTTCTCCTTTCCTTTCGCTGATGGGCCCTCACTGCAAAAGCAGAGTGCCGGTGGGTTTGTAAGATACAGAGATTCCTACTTATATCAAGTTACATTACTGAATAGCTGCAGCAGTGCTAGTTATCAGTGATTTTTTGCTTGCAATCCTTTCAATGAAATTAATATTTATATATTTGTACATTATGCAGAGTAATCATTACCATGGTATTTATTTTAAAGCAATAGTTCCCTTGTTCTTTCCTGTGCAAGTGTTTTGGTCTTGCCTCTTTCTCTCCTCCTTAATCAGCCTCAGTAGAAAACAAATACCAGAAGAAGGTTCGGCTTGCTCGAAGAACGTCCTTGAAACAAGAGCACTTGCTTTGCTGACATCAACTATTGACATTTAATCCACAATATTCTGATTTTCATTGTTGTGAATAGATCATCTATTTAGAAAACCTCAGCTCACTTTGGGGTTTGGGGTTGGTTTTTTGGGGTTTTTTTCGTTTTTTTTAGTACTTGCTATTTCTGCCTGAGCAGCCATAGCCCTGCCTGCACCAGGTGTCCCGCAGCCAGTAGCTGGCACACGCAGTACTGTGCCCGTAGGAGGTAAGCTCTAGTTTTTCACCCGCATTTCACCCCCACACATATATGTACACGCAAACAGTTCCATGACCATTTTTGGTTTGTTCACACAAATCTTAGCACGTCTGAGTCCAGAAAAGGGTTTGTTTTAGATTATGATAGATATTTTATTAAAAATTGATTTTAAGACAATCTTGTGTGCCTCTCCTTACTCACGTTATAGGCTGTATGTTTGTTTGACTATAGGTTATGGTGAGGACAGAAGTCACGTCTCTACCAGTAAAATGAAAGAATTCAGGAACTCTAAGGAGGGTTGTCGCTCATTTTCTACCTTGCTGCTTACCGGGCTATGCCTTAGTTGTGGCTGAGAGAGGAGCTGGCTGCACGTTGTCAAATTTGCAGCGAGTTCCAAGAAGCAACAAGCTTGGTCCCCTGTTTCATAAGAGACAGCTCTTGACTGCATGCGATGCATGCAAAAGAAGCGTGGAGTTCTAGAGCAAGGGTTTTCTCAATTCCTTGTTTAATATTTTCCTTCAAAAGACAGAATAATCAAAAAAAAATCCCCTAAAACAATCTTTGCCCCAAAGAAGTTATGGGTGCCCAGGGTCATATGCAAAACTAGGGATTAGTGAATGGGATGGTTACGCTTGTTACCGCCACTGGGCTGACATTACTATGGTGGTGCTTACGAATCAAGCCAAGAATGTATTTGTTAGAAAAGCTAGTGCTTTATGTTTACTTCTGAAATGTTTAGAAACTTGGTTTTGCAAGGGCTTGTTCTTTTCCAGTTTCAGGTGAAGGGAATGTGCATTCAAGGACAGCAAGCAAGTCAGTAGCAAAAAAAGCAGTAGAACGCAAATAGCAATCGCTCCGCAAGATGCGTTAGCAAAACCAGACCTAGGGGTGTTGGGAAGAACGTCCCTGGCAATGTGTGACCAGGGGAGAAGTTGCATGCAGTGTCCCAGTAACAGATCTACACGTGTTCAGCACTCCACATCTTGCCTGGGCTGCACACCTCTCGAGGAACGCCGTGGTCCACGTTTACTCACTTTTAGCTATACGGACTTAGGGGATCCCAGCGTTGTCTTCATCGAGTCCCAGTGTATATCGTGAGCCTTGGGAGCAGGGAGCTGGCATGGAGGCTTACACCAGTGAATCTTTGGAACTTTTTTGAGGGAGTGTTTCCTTGGAGGTTTTTAGGGACGTGGTGTTTTGTTTTCTGTGACTGAAGAATCTCCTTCTCACCTTATCCCTGAAGTCTTCAGAAACGTAGTAGTAGACAAAGGGATCAGCACAGCTGTTAAAGGTACTGACGGCCAGGCTCACCATGTACGTGATATACAGGTTGCCATACAGCTTGGAGTTATAGCTGGAGTAATGAACAAGGAGGAGAACGTTGCTGGGTGTGTAGAAGGCCACAAGTGTGAATAGCACAAGAGCCGTGAGCTTCATAGAGTAGGAGTACCGCTTCCCACTGCCCAGGAGGGTTCGCAATACTGAGCAGTAGCTGAACAGCATCACTACCAGAGGAGCAAGGAAAGCAGAGGCGATCAGGCAGATGAAGTAGTAAAAGTAATACCCGTCATCCTCGTGCCTGGGGAGAACATCGTGGCAGAGAGTGATGTCTGCTCCGTACAGGGGATATGACTGCTGCTGCAGAGTCAGGGGCAGGGTGAGGACGACAGCACAGAGCCAGATGGCAGCGCAGGTGCAGGCAGCAAAGGCAGGGGTGCGGAAGGAACGTGAAAAGAAAGGATGCACTACAGCCAGATACCGGTCAACGCTGATGCACGTGAGCAGCAGCACTGAGCAGTACATGTTCCCGTAGAAGAAAGCTGTGGTGAGCCGGCACAGGCCTTCCCCAAAGGGCCAGTTGTTCCCCAGGAAATAGTAGAAAATCTTGAAAGGGAGCACCAACACGAGCAGCAGATCTGCTGCAGCCAAGTTCATCAGAAAGACAGTGGAGGTCAGCTTCTCAGCCCTGGTGGCCAGGACCCACAGGGCCAACCCGTTGGAAGGCAGCCCCACCAGGAACACCAGGGTGTAGAGGCAGGGGATGATCCGCACTGTGACCACGCTGCCCAGCTGAGAGCGTGTGGCCTGGTGTATCAACAGGTACGTGATGTTGTTTATCGTTGCCTTTTCCCCAGGAATGGCTCGGGGACACGGTGTGATCTCTGGTGTCGTTACCGGCTCGTTGGTGCTGTTCTGAGAGTAATCTGTCAGATAAAGGCAGCCTGTTAATTCCTGTTTGTGCAGTTACCCCTGTACTTTGCAGAGCAGGCTCCTTACATAACACCCCAAAGGGTTTTGCATTTTATGTTGGGGTTCCTAGAAGTGGGAGTAGTCTGTAAAGTGCCGTTGTGTGATGAGCAGGAAGAGCTGGCTAACAGAATTAGGTGAGCAGGGGCAACCATCAGCAAACTTACTGAAAATGTACACGATTCTTCTGTCGTGTGGTTTCCTACAGCTCACAAATGATTGCTGTGTTGTACAACTATCGGCAGGCCTGGGAAACCAGAGAGCAATTCCTCTGCCCAGTTCTCAAAAGAATCCTAAGATCTGGGGCCACTCAGGGTAAAGTCATGGCTGTGAAAGTCAAGCTTTTAGATAAAGATTTTGGTTTCAAGTGCTCTCTGTTTTACTTCTCCTCTAATTGTTCTTTCTAATTTCTTCCACCCCAGTTTCGTTCTCTTCCATATCACCTTCTAGCTCATCCTGCTTCAACTAGAGCATGCACAAAGCTCAGTTAGAATGCGCTCCCATGTGACTGCTTTAAAAACTGAGTTTTCAGGAATCTTACAAAGGTACCAAGTATCCAGTACTTTAAGAAGCAGCAATTTTTCACCCAAAGATACGCACTCACCATCGTAGTCTGGAGAGGCCAGGCAGAGTCCCCAAAAGGCACAGCACAGCACGAGCCTGGGTGACAGCCATCCCCTCCCGAGGGTCTCCATTGTGGTGCAGGACCCAACAGCGCACCACTGTGCTCCAAGCTGTGTGGGAAAGGCAGCGTTGGTGACCCTGCTTACGCATTTCCTTCTGTAAGTCCTTAACTCACGGAAGCACCAGGCTCATCCCGTGAAGGACGAGGCGTATTGGGGGGAGGGCTGTCACGACACGCACAAGTGTGCGGAGGCTTAGCTCCAGCATCAGACGCCGGACTGGGAGGGGCACGTGTATCTAGATCCACACTATAGCTGGGCTGTACTTCATCGTCAGAGCTAGACAATGGCTTGAGTGCCTCATTTGGGCCTCCTTCCTGCTCCAGAATATTCCTGGAAATAACAAAAGTGGTCAGATTTGGTACAGTCTGACTTTGGTTTAGAGTGTAAACTGAACTTCTGACCTCCTTTGTCAAGCATCCTTCCACCCAAGAGAGACCCAAGTGGTTCTTTGTGAGAGTCAAGGTCTTTCCCCACACCCTGGTTCAAAATGCTTTTTGGTAGTGCAGATTAAGAAGATAGATACCATCCGCTCACAGAAATGTAAAGGACGCGATCCAGAGAAACCTCCCCACCTCCCGGGGGTTACACAAGGCTCTTACAGTCTCTTGTTGGGGCACTTAAGGAGTTTTAGCGTCTACCTTGCAGTCTCCAGATCCGGCTGGGCCTTTCAGAGTTCTCTTGTTTCTTTATTTCTGCTCCTGCTCCCCAGCTAAACAGGGTACAAAGCTCCTGCACCTTCCTCCTTGGATCTCACTGCAGAGGTTGACCGAAAGTCCTGCGGGTTCAAGCTATTTGCGTTTGAAGCACTCAGCACTAGCGCCAGCCCGGAGTGCCATAACACACAAACGATACGTGGTGAAGTCTCACGGCTCGACGGAGACACTGTGCTTCTGCTGATAAACTAACGGGAAGAGGGAGAGCAGCTCCATCCAGCAGGAAAGGGGCCTGACAAGGCTGGGCAGGAAGTCTCTGCTGTTGGGTAGATAGTGGTGAACGTCAGTCACTCTTGCCCAAGAAAAGTTTTTTCCAGAGATGTGCAGTTTCCACCCAGTAAATCCCCAAGAGGGCTGAGCACTCTGTCCTAGCTAATAGCTTGGAGCAGCGGCAGGCTCCTGCCATGTACCTGCAGGTTGTACAGAGAGGACAACTCACATAATGGCAGATGTTACCTGAACCTCTAAGACCCTTTGCTGCTTGGTTCCCCCTCTCCCCTTCTCTAACTCCTGGAGAGCCTAAGGCTCTTCCATGCTCTGCCTTGCTGGGCAAGTCCCAAATCCTCTCCCATCGCCTGTGTAAGAGCCCCAGCATGACCACTTCCCCGCGGTCATCGAGTGGGTCTGCTGGTGGGGCAGGAGGTCCTGGCTTGAGAGGTTGCTGGATTTTAGGCTTTTGCTCTCCAGTCCCCTGCCTGGCTCTGCAAGGGAGTAAAGGCAGAAGCTGGAGTCCGGGCAGTAGGAACTGTAAATTTGGTTTGGCAACCTGAGAAGCAGTTCATTTCTTTCTCCTCGGCTTATGAATGGCCTCTTCTGTGAAGGTTGCAAATCTGAGCCTGGCTGCTATTTGATGAGATTCTTCTATTCCAAGGAGAAAATGATCCTATTTCCTTTGCTTTCACCATATTCCCACATCCTTGTGCCGAGCGTGTCGAGAGGTGGAGTTCTACTGGCAGGGACAAGGGAAGATGCAATGTTAGATGTTTTGCTTTTGTGATTCTCTCAGGATTTATGAACCATTACAGAATGACTCATGTGGCCACATATTTTCCATGCCTCAACCAGGATCCTTTCCATGCTCTGTATGCAGAAAAATTAGACATAATCAGGTTCAGACAGTGTGCAAATCGCAGCCCTGCTTCCTATGGCCAGGTCTCTGGAGCGGAGCAGAGAGAGGTTACTCATTGCTGTATCCTTCATTTTTCAGATGCTGTGTGAGCTTTAGTGACTGCTTCAGCTGCAGAACAGCTTGCTTGAAAATTCTGATGCCAGAGGTTTGTCACAGCTTGTTAACATCTCTTTGTGTGATCCCTGCCCTGTGGGGTAACAATTTGGTTTTAAAGTAATTGTGCAATAGATCATCTCCTGGGAGAAGGCACTCTTTTATTCCATGGCTCCGAATCCAGAAGATGTAATGCTGGAAAACAGGCTAGGGATTTTAAAGCTCAGAGGGAGGGTACAAACACCACCTGGCCTGTCCCATGCATCTTTCAGGCTTGGAAGAGCAAACTGTCATAGGCAAACAACGGGGCTTGCTATTTCTGCTCTGTTCCAGCGCTCTGGAGAGTTCTTCAGCTGCAAGCCAGCAGGTGTAAGGACAGAAATCTTAGAGCCTAGTGAAATCCTAATACCTGCCCCAGGCTGAACGCGCATTTGCGATGCATACACAAGACAGCAGCTCTGCCTTAGCGCCAGCAGCATGAAGCATTTCCATGAGTGTCAGCACAAGCTCACATTTTCCATGAATGCAATGCTGGCCCTGCCTTTCCCAGCCGCTGGGTCCGCAAGCATCTGAGCCCTCTCAGAACCACAGAAAACTTCCACTGACTATTGAAACAGAAGTGATGGTCCTTGGAAGTGGGATCCCCCCACCCTAGATTTGTCTTTGCAGGCTCTGGCACGTAGAAGAGGACTTCGTGCCTTGGGCACTCTTCCCTAACTTTGCCATCCCACCACATCCCCTTCCTCTCACTTTGTCAGGTCTCTTACCATCACCCTGAGACTCTCCACAGCTCCAGGGAATCTCCCTCCCTGCCTCTCGTCTCTTCCACTTGTTCCACAGTTCTCCTGTTCCACTGGGATCCCACCCTTGGGATCCCTTTTCCATTGGTTGTGCCCCACCTTTTGTGCTCCCATTCTCCTCACCACTTGTAAGCCTTATGCTGGTATAATACTTCAGGGGAGACAGGGTTTTTTTAGAACTACTCTTCTGCTTGCTCGCAGTTTTCACTTTAGAGTGCAGGAAGTCCACCGGAAGCCATTTTTTCAGGAGTATTAGAAGTTTGTTAGTATCACTACAACTCACTAGATGTTCTGGACCAGCTTCAGGATTAGTCCTGTTCCTTTCTCAGCAAGATCGTGACACTGGGCTACCTTGCCTGATACAGACATCATCTCTTTTCAACACTGGGGCTCACATGATTCTGTTTGGATTCCTCCTTTAGCACAGGTATGGTTTATTATTGCTGGACTTTAATTTAGTCTTTAATTTTGATGAGTGGAAGGTGGAGCATACCTCTGGTTTCACTGAGGTTGAGTTACTTAGTTCTAATCCAGAGGAATGGCTAAAGCTGAAGAAAAACTCGACGCATGCTTACACGTGTACTTCTGGACTACCTCTCACCGGTTCGCAGCCCCAGCTTTCTCTCTGTGCATCACTGTGATATGGAAACACATAAAAAAAAAGTCCTGAAATATGAAATACTGAATTCAGGTACTCCCTCTAGCAATTCTTAATTTAATTTAGAAAACCATTCATTGTTAGTCCATCCTGCAAACCTGAAGGATATTTTTAAGCTGTCTTGTCATTGCCAAAGCTGTCCACTTGCCGAGACCTCCCACCGCTCTTGGGTGATGTCAGATCTGGCTGTCCCTCCCTTGAGCACAGGGAACGTCCTCTTTGTGAGAAGTCCAAGATACCTCCGAGAAGACTTGCGTAAAGCAGACTCTGTCCTCCAAGATGCCACTACCACCATTTTAATCAAATTATCCCGTGCAATTTACGCATCAGAGGATTGCTATTAGGAGAACACCACTTTGGTTCCCTGTGAGCAAGTCATACGCTGCACAGAAAGCAGAGTTGCCTTTTGTTATGGCAACGGAAGTGTTGAGAGTGATGTAACGGAAACTCCTATCAGATCTGGGTCACATCACTACAGCTTAATTTGCAAAATCTACACATTCATTTGTTATGTGGAGCTCACAGGGACCACAGTTAAACATGTTATTACCCAGGAATTTGGGGAGGTTGAGGGAAAGGCGGGTGGAGGGTTATTTTCATGGTTGCAGTTGTATTGTCTTAACCTGTAGCAGATGTGCTTACAGATTTCGGAACTGGAATCAGTCACTTTTCTTCAACGTCTGTTGAATTCGGCGTGCGAGTATTTGAGGGCCAGGCCTGGACTGTATTTTTGCACCACACCTCTCATGGCAAAGGTGCTGCTAGAAATATACCAGTCTGCAAAAAGATATGCTTTGCTGCTCTACACCATGTTTTCCTTTGAAATCTATCTCTGCACAGAGCAACCAGCAACCCACCACCTCCGCGCTCTCATCCAGTTGTGGCCCTTTGCTCCAAGACGTCTTGGCAGGACACACCTAAGTTCGGAGCCACAGGCACAATCCTCCTGCCTGGGATCTCCTACTGCACGCTGCTTGCAGGAAACTTACTTCCTTTTTACCTTAGCTAGTGCTCTAACTTCTCAGCATGGGGAAGGTTAATGATTCGCTGCCATCTAAATCACGGTATCCTGCAGCCTGTGCTGCAACTGCTTGAAGGGAAGTTCAACTTTTCAGTTGCATTTTTCTACCATTTAAAATTCAGTTTCAGGTGCAAGACAATCAATTCCGGGGATTGTCAGAAAGTTTAAGTTAAATTTAAAACACTGAGAGCTGCAGACTTTTAAAATCAATATTTTATTTTACCTGAATGTGCAAATAAATATTAAAAAAACTACATTCAAAGAGCTGGCAAAGCAATTACAAGCCCAAAAGCAAAGATCCTTCAAAAAAAATGGAAGAACAAACTCTTGAATGAAGGTCGTGCTAGCAGATACACAGCGGTCAAGCTTAAACTCTCAGCCATTAGCAAGCCACTCTCAATCCTGCACTGCCTGCTTATTCCATTCACGTGCTACTATCAGTTTTGAGACAATAGCACCGTAAAGGGCGAAAGTCTTAATCTGTTCAGGTTATAAATTAAGGTTTACAAAATAAGGATGCTTAAAAATACCTGAAGTACACTTAAAAATGGGGAGGTGGAACAGGACGGTGCACAGGCATGTTACCCTCCTCCACCCTGGTACACTTGGAATCAAATTCATTTGAAGCCACAAGTCGCAACCTGTTTTCTAGTAAACATTTTTCTGTATCATAAAACCATAAAATTTGGCACAGTTGTCGTCTCCACTGGGAGACAGCAGAGAGGCGAACAGGACTGAGGTGTATTCTGTTGAGCTGTCTGGAAGCAAAAGGGAGATACTGAGCTATGTGGTCAGTGTCTTTTATCACTTACTGCAACAAGAGCAGGGGAAGAACCTTCAGATCATTTCAGTAACCAAAACTTAACAGAGACCCAGACAACGAGAACATGAGTTCTTGATGAAAGTCCTCTGCTGGTAGCGGTTGTGCAAGTGGCCACGAATGCCAGAGACTGGCCTCCCTCCTTCCCTCCTACAGATTATTTTGCAAAAAAAAAAAAAAAAGACAAAGAGTCAGTACAGTGTTCTATTAAACGTACCCCAAAGGCCAATTTTTCTACTGCCAAGTGAGACAATTGCAAAACCAAATGTTGTACAGTGGAAATAACCCAGGACAAATCCTACAGGCTGCTACTTAGGTCTGGCAGAAATTATAACCTAAAAAAGCCACAAAAAATATCAGGGTGCTGGGGTTATTCCCCCAAAAGCCAGGAAAAAGTTGGAAGCAGAGCTGAAAGGAGGCTGGACCTGCCTCGAGACATGGTGTTTGTAATACACCCCATGGACAGTGTGCTGGCCCTCGGCCCCTGAAAAACAACAGCGAAGTGACAGTGGGCTTGCAGGACAGACACAAATTTTCTTGATTTTTCAATAGATTAAGTCAGACAATTGACGTAGTGTTCTGCATGTTTCGGGGTAGGTTTTTTTGCTAGGTTTCATTTCAAAAAAGCTTAAAGTACAGACAGTTCGGTGGAAAAGCTTGTCTACGATGGTTGTGGCTGGATCTAACAGTGCCCGTTACAGATTTCCATGTGTCACTGCAAATACAGCATCTGTGCTGACCCAGCAGAAACAGCGAAGTATCTGGGACAAACCTTGGATCCAGTACAAACACTGTGCTGCAAGAGCTCCATCTACTGATGTTATTTAAGTGGTACAACCCAGCAGAACCACGGAGTCCAGGCATGCAGAAGGAAAGCGAAGCTTCGCCTGAGAACGCAGTCTCCAGAGGCTGCCAATCAACATGCAAAATACAATTAAAAAAAAAAAAAATAGGCCAGACCTCGCAACGGATATTCCACCCCACGCGCACGCTCCAAGCAGCTCCAGATCTGAGAAGGCAGAGTCTGCAGCAGGTCGTAAGTTCACAAAGAAACAACACGGGATCCCATGCACGTCTGCAGAGGGGTAGCTGTGGGCCTAGGCTGTCTTGTGCCGCAAAAATGCTCTCTTGCCTAGCACTGCAGCTCAGAGTTTCTTCCCCTTAGTTCACACTCCAAAATACTTCGTGGATGACGGAGTGTTTGAGCGTTTAGTACGCTGTTCACTCTTCTCTCGGTTTTGGCATTTTTCTCACCAGAGCACCAGTAACAAATACTGCATTCATTGCCTTATTAGTACGTGGAGATAATGAAGCAGCCCATAGTGGGGCCAGCAATCTGTGCCAGGTGCTCTCAGCCCCACTGGCACTCAGAGGTTACACTGAAGAGTTCTGCAGGCTCCAAGACGACATAAATTCAGGAAGACAGGCAACACGAAACCCTTCGAAGTGGAAGCAACTGCCAGCATCTGCTCAAACACCAGCCCAGCTCCATCTCCGACGAAGCCACTAGTGGTAGTTTGCCCAGAACCTGACCCCCTCACTCAGCCTTCCGGTATTGGCTGGTCAGCAGCGGCCTAAAGCTAGGAAACTACTAAAAGGTGTGTGGCAATGCCGAGAGCCCTCTTCCCATAAAGCTTTTAGAAGCCTCTTCACGATGGCTGGAGGATTACACTGCAAGGAGACAAGTCTATGCCATATGGAAAATACATCATAATCCAAAGTAAAATGCTGTTTGGATAAATATCATTAATACATACATTGCATTCCCACCAATATTCTCAGAGTAAATGTGTTTCACCAGCAATGCTCCTGCTTGTCTTGGTCCCAAGAACAAGTCTCTGCTCACGGTGAAGCTGGACGGCGACTGTACTGAACTCTGTATCTATTCACCGGGACCCCGTGCACATTCACCGTCTCACAAGTTGTTTTACAGGGCACCATCTCCTCATCTTCATCTCCCATTAGCCAGTCTTGAACTACATCGACGGCCTCCATGGTCACGTTCTCTTCTAGCCACCTGTTGTGCCACTCTTCAAACTGCTGGTGGTGCTTTAGCAGCACCATTGGCTGTACCTGAAAGCAGGACAGTAAAGATCACTGAGAGGTTTCTGGGGGAGAAGCCAAACCTTTGCCTCTGTGTGCATCTGAGATGTGCATGCTTTACAACACAACAGAAACAGTAAAGCAGGAAACCTCATACCTGCATTTAAAGATCTCTATTTCTTAAAGTTTGCCACTCCCCCTTAAAATTTGCATGGTAAAGTAAAGGCTGCTAACCTAAACCAAAGTACAGACCATTTACCAGCTCTCCTCCATGTTTCATCTAACACAGAGTAGTAACTTCTGGGTGTAGTTTGCAGGAATTCAGCCACAAGACTTCTTATCAGTACCTGTCTTTTGGCTCACATCCTCAACCTCTGCTACTGCCTGAGCTACAGAGAGAGTAATAGGAGATGCACCTGCTTGGCTCGGCAGAGAGCTCCCCGCCTGTACATGTAATCCTCCGAGTTCATGATGAACATCATCTTGTGGGTGTTGAGCTTGAACCGGCAGTCCACGTTGCAGGCACTTTCCACCCCGATCAGTCTCTTCCAGGAGCTCTTCACTTCGCTACGCAGAGCTCTCACTTGCTTACATTGCCACTTGCGAAACTTTTTTAGGTTTCTAGAACAAAATGAGGCTTAGGAAGCATGTGTCACACTTGGTTACCCGTTCTCTTGAGCTAGCAGAGCAGACAGCACAAGTATGAAATCTGTATTGCCACATTTAGTTTTCAGACTTTCTCCATTCCACTGACAAATATTTAGTGAAACGGGAACAAATTAGACTGCAAATTCCTCCAGAAGGGACTGCTTAGACAGTCCCACTCCATTCTAAACACAGTTTCACAAACAAACCTCAATGCAGTGGTCATGATTTTTTTCTTCAGCATTCTTAGGCAACACATTGGACTACAGCAGCCCCTTTGGACCTCAAAGGTGAGTGCACATCCCTAGAGTTGCTTGTACAGCACATCACCTAAAATCACTGCCACATATGTAGAGGAAGCAGTACCAACTGCTGCAGGTATGATTCAGGAAAGGGAACGTGCTTACCTTTGCAGAAAGACTGGTTTCAATAAGAAGCCATCATTCTGGTTGTTCGGAGCTCCTTCTACCCCGACATACTGCTCCATGTAGTTAGCCAGGTGCTACAAGACAGATCAATTGCAAGTCAGATTTCACTCTCATCAAGACAAACATCACTGCAAAAAAAAGTTTATTTCCAAGCTGCTTTTTCTGAAGCTGCTGCTATCTCACTCAACTCCAAGCTGATTTACGTTGAAACTCTTTTGCTAACATACCCATTTCTGTCAGTGACCACAGCCCCACGTGTAATCTTCCCACCTCCCAGGTAAACTTCTCCTCCTGAGAAAGCCTCACATTTGGGAACAAGAAAGCGGGAAAGCATTCTTAGACATCCGCTTTGTCTGTGGTACAGCAGACCACATAGTCACTGCAATATTACCTGGACTTCCACGGGATCTTCTGTCTGGGTTTCTTCTGTATCCAGAAGCTCAATGGTCATGATCACCTGTCCTTTCCGCTGAAGAAACATTACCTGTAATAAAGTTACGGGCACAAGACATTGGCCACGTGGGATCACAATAAAATGCTGTATATTCACAAGTCATTTGGACAACAAATAGAAGCTAGGAAAGGAGTAAGCAGCAAGGCTTTTCAGGGAGCCAGTATGCCACTTCACTGGCTACGCTCTGGTTTTGGTGCCTTCTCTCCGCAGTGCTCAGGAGCTTCCAAACCCATTTCTCCCAGATAAAGTGTCACTTTATGAAGTTCCCTGGCAGCAAGTTCTTACCTTGAAACAGTTCTCATCTGCCATGCAACGTTCAGCCTTCCACTGATAGCTGGTCTCCTTTGCTGTCCGGACACATCTAGAGGATAAGTTACCTCCAGCAGCACCTCGCTTCCTTTCGTTCAAGTAGAGCTCAACAACTTTCAGGCAGATGTCATCACTCACTAGGTGGTGAAGCTTCCATTAAAAAAGGGGTAATTCAGTCAGCAAGTCTGGGCCAAGAGTTAACTAATAAAGTGTTACGAAAGGAGCACAAAACTCAGCACAGCATCACACCGCAGACAAAGCAGCAAAGTTTTAACTCCAGAGACTTCACACATTTTGCTCTCTTTTTCATTACTTTGCAACAAAAGGAACAGAGAAGAGTGAGGGGCTGATGTGCCTTAACTGTAACAGAACTACAATTAGAAGACAGATTTGAGTAAAAAGGACTGGAGTACTTCTTTTTTTTTTTTTTTGGCCTTAGATGTATTTTGGGAATGGCAGAACTTTGAAAAGACTGGAACTCAAAAAATGTTGGAAAAGGCCAGAAAGAGCAAATCCCCTAAGGCAGTGCCTGTACTGAAGCTAACTATCTCACTGAACTTCTGTTAAGAGTGTTTCCCCACACAGAGAACTTTTCAATGAATTTGCTTTAAGTTTAGCAAGTCCTTGCATTACGGGCTACTGTGAGAAACTTGTCCGTCTATAGAAGGGAGATGTGCAGCCCCCGAACAAACAGCACAGCCATCAAATTAGTTACCTGGCGGACGATATTCTGCACCAGTTTGTCCATAGTAAAGCCAATATAGGCATGGATAGTGAACATCTCCCTCAGAGTGTCCTCGTACTGCGTTGGGTCAATATTTCCATCCAGCAGACTCCTCACCATATCCAGGAAGGCAGGGTAGTACTCCTCCAGTTCCACCTCACCTGGGTAGGGGAAAAGTGCAGTCACTTAGTGCACGTAAGAGGTAGAGTGAACTCAAGAGACACAAGGGACAGCACTGCTGAAGAACTGTGATATCCTGTACTGAGAACATGCCTGCAGACAGACAGTTCTCTGTAAGGAGACAGTTTTAGCTCACGCACTTCTGTGACCACCTTGTGTAGTTCACTATTGTGGAGCCACTTACATTTTAAATCAAAGTTACAGATTAATACAACAAGACCCTTCAGAACATCTGACGACAGCGGGCTTACGTGAAGTCTCCACGACCTACGCATGACAGCCCTCAGAAGATAAATTAGCTGTATGCACAAATCACAAACAGAGTGGAGGTTTGTAACTCTACAGCCTTGCCTGCTAGTCTCGGATACTCAGATATACACAACTGAGCACTAGTGACCAGAGTGTTAAGAATGGACTATGCCCCGGATTATTCTTACTTGGTTGCTTCAGTCTTAGTTCCATGGCTGGATCATTGGTTTTTTCTTTTCTTCCCTCACAAAGAAGTTTCTCTCTCTCTTTTTCAGTCCGATATTCGAGAAGCTGCTTCTGAGCTTGACGATAAATCTTTAGGAGCCTTGAGCACAGAGTCTGGTGAAGGCGGAGGAAGAAATACCAATTATTATTGACAAAGAACAGACTGTAAACATCATCCAGAGTGTTGTGGGGCTCAGCAGCTGTAACATCACAGAAGGTTGTTTTCGCCTCCAAAGGACTGCTTGGAGGCCCAGGCACATGTTTTTTCCGTAGCTCGGGAGTATCCAGGTTCTGCCCCTGATGGTTTTCTCTGTCCTCATCTGTTGATTCTTCAGAAATACTGTGCTCAGGGGGCTGAGAGAAAAACAGCTCAGGTATGAAGTGATGCACTATCTGCCGGATGGTTGCTTGATCCTCCTTTTGGATAGTAGGCTGTCTTTTTACATAATAGCTGATAAGAGATGCTGCATCTTCCAAAATCTGCTTATCTTCATAGATAAAGATAAGATGAGGCTCATTTGTGGACGAACTTCTCCCCTCTGAGTGCTGCTCCTGATGCTGTAATCAAGAGACAAATAGATAAAGATCCTTCCAATCCATGCTCAAGAGCCATTCCTGCCAGAAGAAATAAGCCAGTGTTAACGCTCTGCTTGGGACAGTTGTTTTCAACTGAGAACTCTTCAGAGCACTACCACTTCAACAAGGTCCCAGGTGCTACGTAAACATCTAGATAACTGTAAATGAAGGACACACAGGATGAGTTATTTACTAGCATACGCACCTCATCATAGACACTCTCAATTTCATTCAGCAAGCTCTTGGAGCGCAAAGCTTTGGTGTCATTTTGTTTGAAGTTGACGGCCTGGTGGTCGAGGGACTTCAGGTAGGCTTTCTCATACTGCTCCCGCCAAATTTTGTTGAAGCCCTGCTGGGCCTCCCGCCATTCCTCCTCTTTCGCTTTCAATCTGCATAAACGTATAATCTCTCTCAGTTCAAAAAGAGAACGACAGAAATACACATAAAGCATTTTAAAGGTAGCCAACTGTGATGCACCAAAAACTTTTCAGTGTTCCTGGAAGTAATAAATAAATAAACCACCACCACTGAAGAGGAGTGATCTTTTGAAACAACATCTACAGAAAACAGTTGTTTAAAAATGCTCAGGAGGAAGTCCAGAAATCCACAATGGTTTTCAGCACCTTAATGTTCTCCCTAGAGCTCCTCCCACAGAATCTTTCAGCTTTGCAAAGAATTTCTGGGGTTTATTTTGGGGAGTTTTATGTGTTGTTTTTTTTAAGATAACTGAAGTACTCACAACCACCTACCAGAAATACAGTGAAATATGCTGGACTTAAAACTCAAAAATAGTTCACTTCCAAATCTAACCAAAAATTGTGGGTTTGCTTTAAGCACAGTCTGAGAAGTTTCAATACAGAAAGAAGTATTTTCAATAAGCAGCTGAAATATTTTTAGAAAGAAACATCTTCAATAACCTACTGAAATATTTTTAGATATTTCTAAAAATCTACTAAAACATTTGTCACTTTAACAAAAAACTACTTTCTTTCCTATTTCTGTCCTGCATGAAAATCTAAGTGAAAACCAAGTCACTTACTTTCAGAAAAAAAAACAAGCTTTACAATCCTGTATCTCTTAAAGATCCCAGGTGAGCACAGGAGAACAGGAATTACCTCTTAAGAACAACAGGAACTGCAGTAACTGGGTTTTTCTTAAGACTTTCAATGATCTCTGGTGCTTTATCACCATAGATGCGATAGATGGCCCTGCGCTGGATCACTTCTGATGTGCCTCCCAAGCAATCATCCAGTCTAAATTTTTCCTGATCCTCTTGAGTCAGTCGTGAGAGTTTTTTCTGCACGCTCTCCAGCACACGTATTGTGGCTAAATTGGTCTCCAAGACAACATCCAACTGTTAAGAGTTCACAAAAGACAGACTGTAAGAACAGGCAGAGCAGGAAAATGGAGACCAGGTTTGTGGCATGCGTTCCAGTCCCACTGGGTGGAGCTAAGAAGCATCAGCAAGGTTTCTTACTGGAAAATAAACCTCCGCCAGTTCTCCCAAAGGTAACATGCTTTTTAGAAGCGGACTCATGCCTAGAAAGAACTATTAGACTCCAAGCAAGTGGAAAACACCAAACTCTAGCTCAAACCAGTGAGCACTACGAGAACTTTCAGTAATTGGGCACCGATTAATTCAGTCAAAATCCTCATAGCTAGAAGTTTTGATTTCTGAGGAGGCAGACAGGTGGAAAGGAAGCTCAGTAGCATAGGTACCTCAAACCGCTCATCTTCACAGCGGTGCAACTGCTCCTCGTAAGGAGTCTTCTTGGAGCTGACAAAAGTGGAGTCCTCAGACCAGGATGGAAATGAAACCCAGGTATCATTTAACACCTGCAAGAGTGCAAAGACATGACATTGAACAGAGTCTTATAAACCCAGAGCTGTTCTAATGGGGTCTGATACTTCTCCCTTTTATTTTTGCACAGTTCATCCCTGAATTTCTATTGGAAGTTGCAGACCTAGTTCACAAGTCACTGTCATGAACTGCTCCTCAGATCAGAGGTCTGTGCGAAACTGTGTCTGGGCTCTGCTCAGAAAACTCCAAAGCACCTTCACCATCATCTCACAAAACAGAGATCACTCTGCCATAACCAGCAACTGTAAGTAAAGGCGACAGAGTTGCCAACAACAGGGAGAGGTGGGAGCACCTATGCTGCACAAGTCTGTTCTCACTCAGAACAGGGCTTAAGACACTGGCTTACTGTCCTCTTTCAGGAGGAAAATTGTTTCTAAAGGCCATACTGGTCCACTGCTAGAAAATTAATTTCAGGCTATTTAATATTCTTTTCTCTCTATAGGATAAATTTGTGTATGCACACAGATTCAAAAGATACTCAAGTGAAAGATGCAATTCAAGATGGGTTTAGATAAAATTAGTAAAATGCATGTGGATACTCCTATTTCAATAAATTGGTGAATAACTGATGTGAGATTAAAGCTGGCTACTCAGCATTAAAGAGGGGAATCTACATGCAGAAGCTGTAGCACTAACAACTTCAACTTCTCTAAGTGCAATGTGTGTTCAGGGATTGAGTAGGTGGACCCCAAAGTACCTCCTTGCAAATGGCTGTTCTTCCACTGCACTTTGGCTGCTGATAGGTTTTGGGGAGAGCCCGGTAACTCGATCCTATGCGTTTGCAGGAAGCGTAATCAATTTCCCGACTCATTCCATCCCCAGATCGGTCGCTCAGTGGAGAAGCAAATGAAAGCTCTTTCACACCAAGAAAAGACTTGAACTGTGCAAAGAGTTCTGGAAATTTCCTTCAAAAACACAAGTAAGAGTATTTTGTTATTTCACTCTGATGTTTTAGGGTGGCTAATGTGTGTCATAAAAGTGAGGGAGTTTGACTTAAGGCAGGAAAAGGATTTCCCTCCGCAGCTTCAGGAATACACCCCTTAACTGACTGAGGAGTCACTGATCCTTGCCACGTGACTCTCCCTCTTCTCTTGGAAGCCAAACAGCAAGAGAGGCTCTCATCAGAACTAGAACTATTTCTCCTTCCACAGCTCTGCCCTGAGATTTCATGTTTATTCCTGTATTGTATTTTGAGAGATTGGAACAGGGAGAGTGAAGAGAGATCACCCTCCAGAAATCATGAGATTCTCTGTCCCCAGTGATTTAGTAACTTACCCTAAAAACGGTGTAACGAGCTGGAGCAACTCAGAGCCAGAGACCAACTCCTGGTTGAAGAGAGCAATGCAACGGAGAAAATTTTCGTAGACTTCCTGACTCTTTAGCACTCTACGCACCTAAAGCACAGTTTGGAGAGAAATGATTGGATCACTTCAACTCCAGTTTTATTTAGTTCATATTCTAAGTAAACTGAACCATGGGTACAGTGACAAACGTCTGCCTGCATAGTAACATAAAAGAGAATATGCACAAAAACACCCAGTTTCAAGTAATAACCTAGTAACTACGGATGGTAGCATGAGGAAACGTCACTGAAAAATAGACAAAGGCATGTCTGTAAGAGACAAGCGCTCAGGAAAACATTAATTATCGGTTTCTATTCATCTTCCAAACCCACTTGTTTTCTCTTTTCTTGGTTTGTCTTTCTCTAACCCCTGACAAGTCAGGCGATTGCTAACTGCTGACACACAGATTGCACAGAAAACCAACCAAGTAATAACCACCCCAGTGGCTAAAAATAAGTCCACAGAATGTGAGAGCAGGCCAAATACTGACCTTGTCAAAGAAGGAAAACTCTTGCAGTGTTCCATATTTTCCCACTGTCGCTACTGACAGATCTTTGGTACCTCGTAGTTTCATTTTCTTCTGTTAAAAGAACAAGCAGTTGTATTTAAAGTGTTGTGACTCAAATGCTATCAAATTCCACTTCGCTGACATATAACAGCTCTCTGCAAAGGCTGAAACTCCGTATTTCCGAAACAGTGATCTACCATTGCTGTGTCAAGCCCTCCACACCAATCTCTATCAAATCACTCCCAGCTAAGAAGAAGATAGAACAAAAAACAGGATCACTTGACAAAGAATTCCAAAGAAAGGTTCCTTTGTAGAAGCATTAAATTCTCCCTTTCCAGGGCCAATACTTAGTACAGAAGGTCTCGATATTTAGTATGCGAGATGTTACTGCACACACTTAAGCATACTTTAAAAATTCCCTTTTTCTACAGTAATTCTTAAGATAGCTTGTAAATTTTGTTTCTCCTACCTGACACCTACATGCCTCAGAGATGTTACTCATTACAACTTTATCTAAGCAATTATCTAAACACAACGAGTAGTATCAGGTTATTCTAAGTTTTTACTTGCTAAAAGATACCTTTGCTGGGCCAGAAACAGGACGCAACAGCAGTGGTCTGGATCGCTTTTTGCTGTGTTCCACGTTCTTCTCGTGCTCGGTTTTTTGGACACTGTTCACTTCACATGGTCCGTTTCCTGTGAACTGAAGTAAATAAATGATGATTTAGATGTCCTCTTCTCGACTGGCACAAATAAAGAATCCTATCTATCTGAACAGGATGCAGAGCATGTAGTTAAGTCACCTGTTCTGTGAAATTTCAAATAACAAAGAGGAGCAAAGTTCATCTACTTGCTATATGTTTTTCCATAATGTTTTGCATTCCTAAAGCTTATTTATGTATTCGACACACAAACAGAGAGTATTCAATATTCTGCCTTGTTCTAAGCACACACGTACCAAAGACCTTTTAGCCTCTGGGAGGAACTGTCCAAACTCAGAAAGCAGATCCTCCTGTCCCCTGAACAGATTTGCTACTTCAGTAAACACTTCTTCCTCTGACATGCCTCGAAAGGGTCGGCCTTTAGTGTTCAGCTGTTCTTTCTAAAAAAGATACGCACAGATGTTAAACAGAATCAAAACCATACCTCACGAGGCAAGAAAACTCATCAACTCAGCCAAAAACCTCACGCTACACAAACTTGAAATAACTATCAGACAGCCCAAGGTTCTTACAGTGCATCTTTTCACTCAGAATATCACTAAACTGACTGAAGGTTGGTAAAGACAGATCTAGATATGACCCCTTTGCACCTCACAGCCTGGAAAGTTCTACAATTTCCACACTTTTGCCATTTCAGGTGAATATCTATGAGGCGCTTGTTGGACAAAGGCTAGTGGTTGGGAACTGTATAAGCCTGTTCAATAGGCAGACATTTCATTTGGCAACAACTACTGTGCAAACCCACAATCTCTTATGTGGAAAACTTTTTACCTGATAAGTATGAAGAATTTCTAAAAAGGATCTGTAAATTTCTGGATGGTCAAGGAAACGTGTTTTGATCTTATTCACGTAACTGATAGCATTATTGAACTCCACAGAATCGGACTCCAAAGGAATTTGGGATTTATCTTCTTTGTATGGAAGCTGTTGCCTAAACTCCTCGGAGCAGTCACTGTGATTGTGCGAATTCTCCTGGGAGTAATGCAGCAACAGCCCGCTGCCAGGGAGAGCGCTGGGAACAGGCTCGGAGGGCACCTAGTGGCATAAGACACACAAGACAGCGACTTGTACAGAAACATAGGTACACATTCAACAACAATCCAGCATCAGGATGTTCAAGCTGTTTAGCTAAAAAAGATTACCACATGAAGAAGAAAGAAAGAAGATTTAATTAGCCAGTTAATTTTCCTACCTAGTCTATTAACACCATCAGTTAAAAAAAAATCCCCTAAGATGTATCTGGCTTATGAACAATCTAACTCATTACTGCTTTGGACTGTCACTGCATTATCCACTACACTTTTGAGAGGGTGGACCAAACAACACGCACTGCAGTTTCTGTCACCACTGTTTCATTTCAGAGGAACTGTCAGTTTCAAGAAACACATTAAAACATCAGGCTCTTAAAGATGCTAAATTTCTAAGCAACAGAGAGATCTAAGAGAACTGAGATCTAAAAGATATTTACTGCTACTAATTAAACCACAAGTTTATCAGCAGAATTCAGGTAATAGCTGTTTCAGCCTCCACAACCACACAACAAGAAAAAAGAAGCAGAGGCCAGTATGTAGCCATCTGTATTACATCAGACATCTTTCACTGCGAGATGTTAGCAACTGCAGTACCTGAGGTGTATTTCTTGCCTATTGCCTAAACACATTTCCCAGTTTCTCAGTGGGAGACTGGAAATGCGATTCTTCCAGGATCTCTTTTTGAAATTTGTCACTACACACACCACCTGCCAAGAATAAACGTGTCAAGCCAATTACAATTTCAGTTTTCAACTGTGACTGAAGTATTTGGAGTTGAAGTGGCACTTCATGCAGGAATATCATTCTTGTGTAAGCTAAACTAACAACTGGCTTGAAAATAAATATTTAAATTTATATTATACCCATTGTCACAGACTTTGAAAACCATGTAAAAACTTCAGCAACATGCAAGACACATAAATCTACATGGCCTAAACTGTGCAAGAGATGTGTATAGTGACATATGTAACAATTTATTTAGAGAATATGAGCTCTATCACCTACCTGACTATTCAAAGGTGACTGTATACTTAGCTTCCCATTCTTTGGAATTTCTATCCTGTAGCCCAGAGGGAGGAAAGCATTGAATCCTACAATGAGGTCAGGATGCTCATGGAAAAGCTGTGAAACACGTCGGATTACTCCAGGTGTGTCAATGCTAAAAATCGAGAAGAGTTTGTTACTTGTACCCAAATCAGAAACAGAAGTTAAGCCTAGCAAATTACAGAGGTATGTGAAGCATCTGGCTTCTTAGAGACACGTTTTTTTAACAAGCAAGTTTGGGACTCTCAGTCCCTAGAAATTAGCCCAAGCTAACGACTGCCATCCACTACAGCCTCATACTGGGAGACATGAGCGTGCAGGTTACCCCAAACAGGCAAGACAGCCATCACCTCTAGGGCTGGCAGACCACAGAGAGGCTCTGCACTCAAACTTCTTCGCTTCTTTTCAAGATCTGCTTTTCAGAGTGCGGAGTAAAAATAGATCTGCCTTTCCCCATGGATTTTGTCTCTGGAAAATGATGGGAAGACAGAGACCCTCCACCTCCAGTGTCTAGGGATTGCACTAATGGGGGACAGGCCAGCAAGGTGGCCTGTGTGTCTGCGGAGGTGGAAAGATTGTGTGAAGCCTGGGGGACCCCACAGAGGCAGAGAGACCCCTGAAAAGGCTGAGGAGTTCCTCAGGAGTTACCTCTGGCTCTTGAACTCTTTCATGATCTCCAGGAAGCCGTTGTAGGTGGCGGGGTCACTGCCAAAGCGGATCTTCACCTGGTCCAGGTAGGAGAGCGCATCTTCCACCTGTGGGGCAAGAACGTGGGTGAGGCCCAGGAAGGGGGAGCAGGCCCTGGGGCACCCCGCGGGCACTGAGGGAGGTGAGAGCAGGCCCTGGGGGAGCCCCACAGCACCGGGGAAGGGGGAGTGGCCCAGAGAGGGGCACAGGGTACCAGCCGAGGAGGCCCTGAGGAAGGCAGGCCCTGGTGGGGCACCACCATACTGGGGAAGGTGCGCCCCACGGTGCTGCAGGAGGATGGCAGGGCACAGAGGGGGCACGGTGCTGGGGAGAGGGGAACAGGCCCCCGGGGAGGATGACCGCGGTACCGGAGAAGAACAGTCGGGCTGGGGAAGAAGCGCGCGCTATAGCGGAGGGGGGAACAGGCCCGGGGGGACCTCACGGTACCGGGGAAGGTGGGCGGGGATGCCCCCCGGCA